AAAACCAGGTCTTCAAGAGTCAAGGGGATGAATCCTTTTAGAGTTTTTATCTACACTATGAGTCCTACCTATGAGCAGAGTATGAGCTCAAACAGAGGGTATCAGTTGGTGAGGTTCCCTCGTTAGTCTGTTTACGTAAAGTGTTTTATTACGTTTATTATTATTAGTAAAGTGTTTATTACTAATCAAAATGTCGGTTTAGTTCATGAGTAAGAAAATCAACATCGTTCATTTGATTTACACTGGATATTGATTTGAGTTTCTTCGGTTTTGGTTCATCGTTATGTTTATGTTGTTTTTCGTCGCTGATATTTCTTTTCAAATTGATTTCACTAGAAAACAGAGACTAATAAGTGGTACATAAATAAAAGTCTAATCCGCACTACCTAAATAATTGTTGTTCAATATCATTTTCTGTTTTTACTTGAACAATATTGGTTAATAGGTGATCGATCATTTTTTGTTGACGTTCGATAATATTTTCATATTCAATTAACTTATCTTCACAATTTTTCAATGCTGTTGTCTTTTGTTTAACTATTAATTTTAAATATCTTTTGTTGTCAATTTTCGGAGTTGATTTGTTTTGTTTATTCTCCATATTAAAACTATAAAATAAGAGAAATGTGCGTAACAAAAGCAAGAAACAGGAGACGCTTAATCTAGTTTTCTGAAACTACTACTTGTGAAGCTCTCCGAATGATCATATTTCTCTCTGTTTAACTATCTTACACTATTATAAATATTCAACATTGCTCAAAGTAAGATAAGATTAACCAATTCTTTTTACTTGTTTTATCTCATCATATTTAATGCCAAAAACTGAATTTTACTGTACAGCGATAAATGATCGTTACATCGTATTTATATTCTTGATGATTGAAAAAATGATAATATATAATTGATAGTCTCAATTAACTTGTTTACATTTTCGAATCAACTACTTTTAATAAGGAAAAAAGATTTGATTCAAAAAATCAATTTTATTTCTAAAAAAAACAGCTTTAGATTAAAAAAAAAGCCGCATCATTTTTAATTCAATGATGAATACTTGCACCTCAACTTACATGAAGGAATATGATTTTATGTGCTTTAACGTGGCTTTAACTGGAACTAACATGGAAAGAACCTTAAATTATATCTATCCATAGTACCTGCTATTTGAAGAGATTTGAAGAAGCATCCCAAAAGTGTCTCTTCTTTTTTTTGTCGGGACTTCATTGTTTTCGGGAAACAGTATCCACTATGAATCTATCAATTAGAAATCAGTATCACTTTTATCATTAAATACCATTAAATAAAGCACTTTACACATCACAATCACCAACAACATCAATTAGAAATTTAAATCACGAAATACAAATTTTATCAAAAAATTTTCAAAAAGTTTTCATCGTAGTAGGACAAGTACTGCAACATTACCAAGTATTACGATTACTCAAAAAAGTAGTTGACAGATAAAAGGTTAGTGTATGGATGAGAAAAAAAAATTGCGATTTACCTTGTTTTTCGGCTGATTTCTGTTGTTTATAATTGTTTATTTCACCATGATAAATTTAGTCGCAAATTTTTCCGTCATTTCTAGTACCTTGACAATTTCTTTTTATCCACAGTCTGATAGACTAAAGCGTTCTCATCTTAATGAGGTTTTTCCTAAAATTTTCGGATAGATTTTAGCCGAGACGTGAGTATTACTGCAAAATGTTTTGGAAAAGTACGCTGTATAATGATACTTGTAGCTATCAAATAATACTTAACTACGAGCGGTTCCAATCCAATCACATTACGAATCCTCGAAAGAATGGTCTGATCAATCTCAGACTTTGATCACAGGCACTTCAGCCTATACTGCAGACTGGGTATTTTTTTAAACTGTTTTTAGCTTCAACTTTCGGTGTGATAAGGTTTTTAAAATCGAAAGCCAATTTTTACTCTTAATTCCACTAACGTAACTCAATTCATGTGAATATCGCAGCTTAAAAACTACTTTATTAATCAAGTTCAAATAAGTCAGTCTATTGTGCATAATGTCGACTTGATCCTTACACCTCAAACTTAGCTTGACCGCCGCCGTAGCAGAATAGCAGCATTGTCAATCTTCGGCCTTTAAAGTTTTCTATCCTTTCTACGAAAAATGGTTCCATTATGTAAGAAGAAGCATGGCAGAAACATTAGAACCGTAAATACCTAAAACACCATACATAACATAAAAAACCTATAATACCAAAAATACTACAAACACTTAAGTTCGTATTTATTATTCGGTCGTTGTGACAATTTCAATTTTTTTCTCAACTATGAAGTTGCAGCAATTGCAACATTTCAATTCAATGAAGTCACGATTGTAGCCTGCGAAATTCTGATCAACATGAGACAACTCCCAGCTCTACACGACCTTTCTTTGCAAAGTTATAGAATTTACAAGAAAAATCCTAAATGTTTATTGTCACCTCAGAGCTACAGAAAGAAGAAAAAAAAATGAATTTAGGGCTTTTCTTGTGAATTCTATAACTTTGCAAAGAAAGGTCGTGTAGAGCTGAGAGATGTCTCGCTTTGATCGTAATTTCGCGGACCACAGTCGTGAATTATTAAGAAAACGTTCCGAAGATCTTTTTAGAGTTTCTGGAAAACTGATTTTCCAGAATACTGCTCCAGCAGGCCTGACGGCCTGTCTCATATGGATATTCGGAATTAGTGTGGTCGATAATCTATAACACGCTAGATCTGGTGTAAAACCGATTGAACAGTTGAATCTGTTTTCTCATTCAATGACAAATCTGACCGTCGTGCGCTCACAAATTGTTTGGTCCAATAGTTTCAGATTAACGGTGTTATCTGCATCCAGTTTCGGGTCATATTGAGGCATGGACTCGAATCCAAACTCGAAAATGTTTGATCGCAATTGGAGTCAGACACGGATTCAAGTTTTTTGCTTAATGTTTTTAACTTTAACGATTTTAGCGGACTCATGGCCTAATATGAAGAGCGCGTCGGTCATAATCCTCCTATATATTTAAAGCCTGACATCAGCAATGATTAAATCATAGAGTTGTATAGATGCAGATGCACCTTTGAATGTGATGAAATTGCAAAATTTCTTCTGAAAATCTTAGCGAGATCTTTCTGAAAGAACCCAGGATCTCAAGATATTCTGTCGATAATACATAATTAATACAAGAATAATCATATACTACGATCGATACAGTTATCAGGATATGAAAAAGATTCATATTTATATCGTGGTGTTAGAATAGTCATGTGAGACATAAATAATACAATATTAGAGAGATTTTTCTCCTTTCTCTTCTTTATTTTGAAACAAGGCTAAGGAATATAACGAAGCATGAGGGCTTATCAGATATGCCCAAAATTAAAAGAAAGAGAATAAGTTCATAAGTAAATAAGCATATAACAGTAACAGTAGAATATACAATAAAATAAGAACGAAGAGAAAAATTTCCACCCAAGTTCAGTGTATCTGATCGTAGTTATACGATTGAAAACACAAGAACATCACGTTAGAAATATACAAAACTATACTGTGATGCTTATGTAGTTACTTAAGACAACTGTCCGAAATTATCAGCCATTTCGTTAACTGTTTAGTGTAAAGTTGGTCAAAGTTTTGTAAAAGTATTGGAACAGTGTAATGTCAGAAGTGTAAGAGAAGGTATGACAAAAGATTACAGAGAAGGTGTGTAAAAATACTTTATTTAAATAAGTATATATAGTATAAAATTATGCCCATTACATTTGATGTTGCAATAACATCAAACTAATACGATGATAATGTCCGAATCACAACTCAGGAAATATAACAGTTCTGCAGTAAGGGCAAGTGAGTCATAGCTACAATATACAATAAGATTTTTTGGTGGAAAAGTATATATATTTTTGAAAAGAGAGCTGAAGGTGCAATTAGAATTGTCTGGTAATTGATGATAGTCTACAGCTATGGTATATAGAAATGTAATACTCGCCTCCTCCAAAAAAACAATCTGGAGTCTTCTCAGTGCTACAATATGTCTGTTTAAAGTTCCATCATTTTATTATTTGTGGGCTAAGAAGCTTTTCGACAATATTTGTCGATGTTAGTGATAAGTAGTCCTACACTAATCAGAACAACATTTTCTACGTTCATTAGTGTCAGACATTATTAGTGATCGACATTACGCAATAATATTGTGATCATTAAATAACATAGTGTTCATGTCATATATTTATCAAGGAGCAGATATGTGTAAGATCCAAGTCTATTTTGAAATACTTCAGCTATGCATATTTATGTGAATAAGCTCGATTACATTTACTAAGAAGTTTAGTCCATACGTGTCTGTATTCCTTATTTGGGCATATTATATTGTCTAACACTGCACAGATTCTGTCAATGCTTAGAAAATAAATTATTTTCATTCAAATTAAAAATTAAGCGAATCAACTGAACTGTTCAAGTGCACGCTTAAAAACACCAGCTCTATAAAGTGAAGAGCGTTCATATATAGCCTATGTAGTTTGAGAGAAAAATGCTAGTTCTAAAATATTTAAAATGCGTTTCTCAAAGGTTTCTTTTCTTATTTTTGATATATTTCGTTGTACGCATCTATGGCAGAAAACGGTAATGAAAATCTAAAAATGGCTACTATGAATAATGCTGTATCTATGGAAAATGATAATTATTTCGACTGAGTCCCTCATTAAGGACACTAAGATAAAAACAGTATTTTAAGATCCCTGTCCCGGTACCTTATTAACATCTTCCCGTGTTTGTCAAGTCTTAGTTGACCGCATCACCCACATCTTTGTCGAGATGTCCTTAATAAATGAAATCTTGTCGTCCCTGTTTCTGGTAAGTTTAAAGAATTCTGTGTTATTTTTTTAAGCTATAAACGAGTAATGATGATATTTTATGTTTTCCATTATCGGGTGGCCCAGAACTAACTGATCACTTTTCTTTTCAATGTAACCTTTCTATCTTTCGTCGATTCGAGATGAATGTTTTTCCAAAAGATGAACCTTGAAGTTCTCTACAAAACTCTACTGAATGCTTTACTGCACAATGTAAATATAAAAAGTTACATTAGCAATACTCGAAATGCAACAACGTTTAACATTTTCCTCGAAATTACTCTTTTCGCAATGCTCGTTTAGAGTGTTCAGTAATGCAGCAAATAAATACGTCATCGTGTAGCCCTTGAAGCGCTCTAGTAGCCACGTATGATTTGAAACTTTTTGTATCACTACTGACTGTTAAACAATGGTTTTTCTCAGAAGGTGTTTCCCAAAACATTATCGTAGTGGCGCATTAGTGTCGTGCCATAAAATGAGTAGAATGCAGTAAAAATGCAACCGATTGAGCTCATTCTTAAATAATTTCGAAGATAAATGATACGTACAAATCTTGAACATTTTATCACTTCAAGCATAGCTAATGTAACGTTTATATTTACATTGAGTAGTAAAACATTTAATAGAGTTTTGTCAAGGATCACCTTTTCGAAAAACATTCGTCTCAGACCGACGAAAGACAGAGAGGTTATATTGAAAAGAAAGTGATCAGTTAGTTCTAGACCACGCGATACATGAAAAACCTACGATTTCTACGCTCTTCTAGCAGTTGATAGTAGATTATATATACTTTTATATCTTTAGGCCGTAGATATTATAAGAATCTTAATGCACGTTATGTGTTGGCGATTTGGGCCTTTTTGGGTTTTTTCTGTTTGTATGCAGTTCGAGTGAATCTCAGCGTTGCTATCGTTGCGATGGTAAACTATAAGTTTCAAGCGAGGAGCCAGAGCTTTATGTAATACTAAATTTGATACGTTTTTCTATATATAGGTTACACCGCAAAGTGCTTTAAATCAATCCGTTGAAGCCTGTCCAGGAGAAAATAAAAATTCTTCTAAACCCGTTAAGGTTAGTAGGAGAAGTTAATCTTTACGCCGTAAAGATTAACTTCTTAATAACTTAATTTTTTAATATTAGGTGAAAACAGCCTGAAAACCCTAATTTTTGTAAAACTGGCTTTTCGGTAGATTTTTAGAACTTTTTCTAAAAATAAATATTTCCACAAAACTCAGCATGGTCGATTACCGACAGTCCATCAGTCTTTAAGGCTAC